TTAAGGGGGTTTGTAGTAGGTGAGAGAAAACCTTTAAGTCATTAGTGGTAGCAGAGTCTAGGATGAGCAACTTCACTTAATTAAAATTGTGATTTGATTTATTGTTGTTACATGCATCTAAGTACGGTGAAAAGTTTTGTTTTGCATGCAGTACATAACACAAGGACATATGGATCATAGGGTGTTTAGCCAAAATGAGACATGCAAGGTTACGGCTGCACAGGTGGTGCACAAAAGCAAGATCAACATTAGATTTGAAATTAGAGATCCATTCAGCAATCTAATAACAGCAGGGAAGGAGCTGTTCTTGAATCTGTTGTGTGTTTAAGCTTCTGTATCTTCTGCCTGACGGAAGAGGTTGGAAGAGAGTATTACTGAGGTGGAAGGGGTCTTTGATGTTGGCAGCCTTTCCATGGCAACAAAAAGTGTAGATGGAGTCCATGGATGGGAGATTGGTCTGGGCTGTGTACACAACTTTCTGTAATTTCTTTCAGTTCTGGGCAGAGCAGTTGCCGTACCAAGCCGTTATGCACTCTGATAGTATGCTGTCAGTGATGCATCTGTAAAAGTTGGTGGAGGTCCTTATAGACATGCCAAATTTCCTAAGCTGCCTGAGGAAGAAGAGACATTGTTGTGCCACCTTCACCGTTGCATCTACCTGGGAAGGCCAGGACAGATTATTGATCCAGTTGCAGAGGACGAAGCTTGAGACCTAGTCTTGGGGTTTGGAGATTAGTTTGATTGGGATCATAGTGCTGAAGGCAGAGCTTAGGAGCTTGATGTAGGTATCCTTAATATCCAGATGTTCCTGGGCTGAATGTAGGGCTAGGGAAAAGGCATCCACTGTGCTTCAGTGTGAAGGAGAACTGACTGGAATCTAAAGCAAATATACTCTCTCCTAGAAAAGCAAGTTGTTTAGAACAGTCAAAGGAAAAAGTTACCTTAGCGGAAGAGCTTAATTTGTGAAACTGCCAGACCAAGAGTGTTTGTTAGCACTTTGCCGATTATTAAAAGACTGAAACATCTAAGTCCTCAGTTGGGAGGTTTCAAATCAGCTTTCACAGCTCCGAGGACCAGAATTAAGAAGAGGCAGTTAAGTCACAGTTCCAGGTTGGACAAGGAAGGAGCATTTCCCTCAGTTTTAATTAACTGTAAACTGCTGGTGTTGGGGAGCAGATGGGATTTTCTTTCACCACGTATTTTGAAATCTTTCATATGTAGGTTGATTTGACTAATTTCATTTTTACTTGTGTGTAGTGAACTTCTGTTTTATTATTAAAACCAATTCTGCAATCTTGTGTGATAACAAGGTGTAGAGCTGGATGAACAAGCAGGCCAAGCAGCATCAGAGGAGCAGGAAAGCTGACGTTTTGGGTCGAGACCCTTCTTCAGAAATGGGGGGAGGGGAAGGGGATTCTGAAATAAATAGGGAGAAAGGGGGAGGCGGATAGAAGATGGATAAAGGAGAAGGTAGGTGGAGAGGAGACACAGGTCAAAGAGGCGGGGTTGGAGCCAGTAAAGGTGAATGTAGGTGGAGAGTTAGGGAGGGGATAGGTCGGTTCAGGGAGAGCAGACAGGTCAAGGAGGCGGGATGAGGTATGTGGGTAGGAGATGGGGGGTGGGGCTTGAGGTGGGAGGAATGGTTAGGGAGGCAGGTACGAGCTGGGCTAGTTTTGGGATGCAGTCGGGGGAGGGGAGATTTTGAAGTTTGTGAAGTCCACATTGATACCCTTGGGCTGCAGGGTTCCCAAGCGAAATATGAGATGCTGTTCCTGCAGCTTTCGGGTGGCATCATTGTGGCAACGCAGGAGGCCCAGGATGGACATGTTGTCCAAGGAGTGGGAGGGGGAGTTGAAATGGTTTGCGACTGGGAGGTGTAGTTGTTTGTATTCCCTGGTTTCCAACACCTCATCTTTACCATGGACGTCCAGTCCCTGTACACTTGCATTCCCCATGCAGATGGCCTAAAGGCCCTCCGCTTCTTCCTGTCCCGCAGGCCCGACCAGTCCCCCTCCACTGACACCCTCGTCCGCTTAGTTGAACTTGTCCTCACCCTTAACAAGTTCTCCTTCAATTTCTCCCACTTCCTACGGACAAAGGGGGTGGGGTGGCTATGGGTACCCGCATGGGCCCAAGCTATGCCTGCCTCTTTGTAGGATAAGTGGAATAATCCCTCTTCCAAAGCTACACTGGCCCTATCCCCCACCTCTTCCTCCATTACATCGATGATTCTATTGGTGCCGCCTCGTGCTCCCACAAGGCATTCGAACAGCTCATCCACTTCTTCACTAACACCTTCCACCCCATCCTTAAGTTCACCTGGACCATCTCTGATACCACTCTCTCCTTCCTGGACCCCTCTGTCTCCATCTCTGGCATCCACCTGGAAACCGATATCCATTTCAAGCCTACCAACTCCCACAGCTACCTAGAATGCACCTCCTCTCACCCACCTTCCTGTAAAAAGGCCATCCCCTATTCCCAATTCCTTCGCCTTCGCCGCATCTGCTCCCGAGATGGGACATTCCACTCCCGGACATCCCAGATGTCCTCGTTTTTCAAGAACTGCAACTTCCCCTCCACAGTGGTTGAAAATGCCCTCGACTGTGTCTCTCGCATTTCCCGCAACTCCTCCCTCGCAGCCCCCACCCGCAATAACAACCAAAACAGAATACCCCTTGTCCTCACGTACCACCCCACCAACCTCCGAATCCAACGCATCATCCTCCGACACTTCTGCCATCTGCAATGTGACCCCACTACCAAAGACATTTTTCCCTCCCCATCCTTATCTGCTTTCCGGAGGGACCACTCTCTCCGTGACTCCCTTGTCCGCTCCACACTCCCCTCCAGCCCCAGCACCCCCGGCACCTTTCCCTGCAAACGGAGCAAGTGCTACACCTGCCCCTACACCTCCCCCCTCACCCCCATCCCAGGCCCTAAGAAGACCTTTCACATCAAACAGATGTTCATCTGCACATCTGCTAATGTTGTATACTGTATCCGCTGTTCCCGTTGTGGCCACCTCTACATCGGGGAAACCAAGTGGAGGCTTGGGGACCGCTTTGCGGAACATCTGCGCTCGGTTCGCAACAAACAACTACACCTCCCAGTCGCGAACCATTTCAACTCCCCCTCCCACTCCTTGGACGACATGTCCATCCTGGGCCCTCCTACATTGTCACAATGATGCCACCCGAAAGCTGCAGGAACAGCATCTCATATTTCGCTTGGGAACCCTGCAGCCCAAGGATATCAATGTGGACATCACAAGCTTCAAAATCTCCCCTGCCCTGACCACATCCCAAAACTAGCCCAGCTCGTGCCCGCCTCCCTAACCATTCCTCCCACCCCCATCTCCTACCCACATACCTCATCCCGCCTCCTTGACCTGTCCGTCCTCCCTGACCCGACCTATCCCCTCCCTCACTCCCCACCTACATTCACCTTTACTGGCTCCAACCCTGCCTCTTTGACCTGTCTGTCTCCTCTCCACCTATCTTCTTCTTTATCCATCTTCTATCCGCCTCCCCCTCTCTCCCTATTTATTTCAGAATCCCCTTCCCCTCCCCCATTTCTGAAGAAGGGTCTTGACCCGAAACGTCAGCTTTCCTGCTCCTCTGATGCTGCTTGGCCTGCTGTGTTCATCCAGCTGTACACCTTGTTATCTCAGATTCTCCAGCATTGGCAGTTCCTACTATCTCTGCAATCTTGTGTGTTTGTTTCAGTGAGAACTCATGCTTTGATAAAAGTAAAGGAAACCAAACAAGTCAGATTTCATCTTGGATCTGACTTGCCCAGTAATAACGTCAGCTGGGATCATAACCGTATATCCTTAAATATGGGTATCAAAATCTCACACTATTCTAACAATGGTGTCAGCGAACCCCCACAGATTTGTAGCAATACCTCCTTATTCTTTTACTCCTGTGATTGCAGGACCACCACGCCCCCCCCACCCCCCCACCAAAAAAAAGGATATAGGGATGCATACTAGTATGTTGTTTCAGACCCATCTTGGAGTTAGACACTTAGGCCAGGGTGTGGTTCATGACTCTTGCCTTGGAGTTGGTGATAGATCTGGAGGTAAGTGATGCAAATGATCATAGTTCTTCGATCTCCTGCCAAAGTAACCAATGCTTTTTGTGAGCACAGTGTATGAAAAAGCCAGCATTGCCTTGAAGAGCCAAATGATGACCTCCTGTGCCACAATGACCCTTCCTTTATTGAAAATTGACTCACTCACTTGTGGTACACAGTTTCTCATCTGCTTCCAGAAAATGTACTTTGCTTAGAAATCAGGAACCTGAATTGTAGCTGATAGCATTTTTGTTTCCCTTTTGTAAACAAATTGACTGTAACCCTGAACCTTATTGTATTGAGTCCACTGCCAATGTGTTGATATCGTATTCTTGCTTTGCTGAATGGAAGCTAAACTTTTTATCTTGGAATGGGTGGGAAAGAGTGAACCAAACACTATAATCCACCGTGCATTGACAATACAAAAAAAAAGTACTGCAGATGCTGGCAATATGAAACAAAAAGATAAAAAGCTGAAAATACTCATGGGGCTGGTAGCTGCTGGAGAGAAACAGTTGAAATTTCATTGACCTGAAATATTATTAGAATTGGTAAAAGTTAGAAATATATTAGGTTTTCAACCAGTGAAAGGAACAAAAAATGTCTGTGATTAGGTGGAAAATGGGAGAGATTAAATGACATAATTAGTGATTCAAGGGAAAATGGAGTGGAAATGGAGTAAGTAAGGAAGTAAAGGAGGTGTGTAAGGCAGAGTGTTTAGCACCAAAAAGGCAAGAAATGTGCCACCTGAACATCAAGATGAGTATTTTCAGCATTATCTTTGTTCTTCCCCAGTGGGCCTGAAGCATCTTGTGCAAATAGCTAGTGTCTTAATTGGAATAAAATGGACTTTGTACAACTGGTTAAAACTGAGAATGGGATAATTCAGACTAATGCCAACTGTTGCTTGATTAATGCAGGTGTCTTTGCTAAAGCGTCTGGAGCGAGTTTTCCAAACTTGTTTTTCTCCGGTGCCAACTACTAAGGTCACCAAAGAAGAAATCTGCTCTCTGGGTCAGCTGCTGCAGTCTGGACTGGAGAAGGGAGACCAGGTCAAGGCAAATAATGGGTAAGATTGTGAGCAAGTACGTACATTGCCGAGGATTCAGTTGAAATGAATTGGGAAAATCATGGTTAAATGCATTGAAAGTGATTCATTAAGCTTACTATGAATAAAAGCTGTAACCGTTGAGCTGACGAAGATTCAACCAAAATGCTCTTTGCATACTGCAGCAAAAAAATTGTTAAATTCAAATGTGTAGTCGCTGAAAGCGATAGAAGTGAAAATCTGCAATGAAATCTACTCTAAACAGAATTCTTTGATTAAAGTGCTTAATCTGCTGAGTCACGTGTTTTATTGCACTGAATAGCTTCATTATTTCTTGTGGGTCATGCAGGGAGTTGTTATCTGTGTGGACCGAGCTGCAAGATGTGGAAGATGCTCACGGCCTGAGGTACCAGTGGGGTGGTTCTCACAGCAACAAAAAGCTTCTAATTTCTCTGGGAATCGATACCAGAAACATTGTAAGTTAATGGGATTGGGGGATAAAGGAGAATTTATTAGAATTTGCCAGCACCTTCCAAACCCTTTGCCTGAGCCACCTAGAGAGGCAAGGACAGCAGAGGGTGGTGGTGGAGGGTTGCTTTTCAGACTGGAGGCCTGTGACCAGCAGTGTGCCACAAAGATCGGTGCTGGGTCCACTGCTTTTTGTCAGTTATATAAATGATTTGGACATTAACACAAGAGGTACAGTTAGTAAGTTTGCAGATGACACCAAAATTGGAGGTGTAGTGGACAGCAAAGAAGGTTACCTCAGAGTACAACAGGTTCTTGATCAGATGGGCCAATGGACCTAGGAGTGGCAAATGGAGTTTAATTTAAATAAACGTGGGGTGCTGTATTTTGGAAAGGCAAACCAGGGCAGGACTTAATTATTTAATGGTAAGGTTCTGGGTCCTGTTGCTAACCAAAGACCTTGGAATGCAGGGTCATGGTTCCTTGAAAGTGGAGTTGCAGGTAGATAGGATAGTGAAGAAGGTGTTTGGCATGCTTGCTTTATTGGTCAGTGCATTGACTATAGGAGTTGGGAGGTCATGTTGCAGCTGTACAGGACATTGGTTAGCCCACTTCTGGAATTTTGTGTGCAATTCTGGTCTCCCTGCTATAGGAAGGATGTTGTGAAACTTTGAAAGGGAGAGGCTGAATATGCTGAGGCTGTTTTTTCCTGGAGGGTCAAAGGCTGAGGGCTGACCTTTGAGGTTTATAAAATCTTGAGGGGCATGGATAGGGTGAATAGTCCAGGTCTTTTCCCTGGGGTGGGGGAGTCCAAAACTGGAGGGCATAGGTTTAAGGTGAGAGAGGAAAGATTTAAAAGGGACCTAAGGGGCAAATTTTTCATGCAAAGGGTGGTGTGTGTATGGAATGAATTGCCAGAAGAAGTGGTGGAGGCTGGTACAATTACAAAAGGCATCTGGATGGGTATGTGAATAGGAAGGGTTTCGAGGGATATGGGCCAAATGTTGGCAAATGGGATTAGATTAATTTAGGATATTTGGTTGGCGTGGACGAGTTGGATCGAAGGGTCTGTTTCTGTGCTGTACATCTCTATGACTCTATGACAGCAGATACACCACCACTTGCAAGTTCCGCTCCAAGTCATACACCTGGAAACAACCTGAATATATATTGCTGTACATTCCTTCTTCATTGTAGATACGCCTCTACCACATGGATTGCTGAGGGTCAAGGAGGCAGCTGAGCACCACTTTCTCCAGGGTATTTAGGATGGGCAGTAAATACTGGCCTCAGCCAGTGATGCCCACCTGCTATGAATTTTTTTTAAATTGAAGAAAAGTTAACTTGTTTTGATGCAGCTGGCTTACTTCCAATAAACAGTTGTACTTTATGTTTTCATTCTTTCTGAAGTGTACTGACTCTTGTTAAGAGCAAATGAGTCACTCTGGCAGCCATGTTCCCATTGCTGTTTGCAACATGGACATTTAATACATTTGATGGTAATTGTGGGGAAAGGAGAGTACCTAGTTTTTGTAACCGCCTTCAATAACTGCAAGAGCATGCAGTTATTACATAAGTTTTATTTGTCCTCTGAAGTTTGACACTTTGACGATGTGGTGAGTTTTGAGTGCTGCAGTGAGATTTCAGCTTAGATTATAAATTCAAACATTTGAATGGAACTGAAACCCATAATCGAGTGCAAGAATTATCACCAACTGAACTAAGCTGTCAGAATGTTAAGTGCAAGGCTTCGTTTAGAAGGGGGCTAATTTCTAATGCTTAAAAAAAGTCTTTTGAGTTGTTCTTCAGAAATAGAATTGCAAACTGTTTATACATCAGCTTGTTGAATTTCAAGATCTTTAAAACTCTGATATTTTCCCTTCATTTCAGGTTTAATTAAATAACAATTAATTGATTCTAATTGTCTCTGTTTCAAAAGTTGTTTACAGGGCAGAGGAAGCAGCCTGTCATTGTTCCCGCATATGCATCTGGTCTGGTAAGTACAGCTCTAAATTGTGTAATATGATGCATTAGTCACCTTCATTTTTGTGTAAATGGAAGCAGAAAAAGAAGAATGACCTGCACCCGGACTCTAATTCTGTAATTTTATTATTCAAATGTCCTAACCAATCATATAATGAAAAATATTGGCAAGTCTTATGGGTCCAACAAATGTTATCTGGTGTTTCAAATTTTCAAGTAAACTAGGTGCAGAAATCCCCTTTAACAACCTGACAACAAGGTAGATTTGTTGTAAACTGCAAATGATTATCAAACTACAGTAAGTGGATAGAATCACCTTGTGTAAACTGCCCATGGTATAAAGTAGATTTTCTCATTGTGTTTATGTAATTTATTCTTTACAGTACATTTCACTTTAACAGGCTGATTTCCAGAATACTTGTGGTAATTATTATGCTTGTTTAGCTGTATGTATAGAAGAACCTGGACAGAAAATGATTTCTTTTCTTGCATTGGGGTTGCTTCGTCCCTACATACTTCATATTTGAAAAGCAAACTACAAAAAACCCTGTTTTCCCTTCTCCTCAGTTCAGATTCTATTTGTGATCATTAAACACCCAGATTTTGACCAAACTGTTATTTAAAGTACTCTTTTATTGATGAACTACAAATGATCACTTATCATTCTGAAAACTTGCATCAGTATGCAAAATAAGGATTAAGTCCCTGCTGATATAAGCTGCACAGTGTTGCAGTTTACAGTAATGGTGCTCCATTCCTTGAGCTATTACCTGAACCATTACCATAATACAGAGCTTCCCAAACTTTACCGTGGAGCCTTATTTTGATGCTTGAGAATGGGTGATCCTAGGGCTATGTTTGTGGTGGTGTGTAGTCTCTTTAGACTACTCAGCACTTAAGTAAAAGAGACCTACCTTTTCACGAAGTTTTCTAGGACAAGAATCAGGACTGCCATTCCAGCCATAGGAACAGAGGACTTGGGAGGAGGGTTAGGCCACCTGGCTCCATGAGCCTGCTCCACCATTCACTGACAGATGGCTGATCTGGTTTTTGTGTGAACCCCAACCCTCTGAGCAAAAAAATTCTCCCCATTACTCTTGAAAAGGAGACCTCTTATTCTTAAATGATGTCACCTTAGTTTTAGTCTCCCACACAAGAGGAAACATGTTGCAGTATCGACCTTGTCAGGTACCCAGTTAGGCCATGCCCACTGTCTTAACAAAAAAAAAAGCAAGGGTTTAAATTGAGCCTTGCAACAGTTAATGTTTGGTTGGAGATTCACAGTAACCATTGTTACCTTGGAGTTCACAACATCAAATTTTTGTTTGCTTCTTTTTCATTTTGAGCCTGTTGTTGTATGGTTAAGGTATTGCAATCTAAAGTGCGCATTGACATCTGAAAGTCTTAATATTCAGTAGTTGGGTTAAGTATCATCAGTAATATAAGCCAGTATATTTTTCATTTGTTCTTAAATTGGCTGAGAACTTAAAAGGTTAGCTTTGCAAGTGCATGCTGCTAAAATGGGTTCTCGCATACTGAAAGCACATAATCAGGAAATTGTGCATTTAGCAAGTTTGCATTTCTGTTGCTGAGCAGAAAACCTTGGGCTGTGCACCCACGATTTTCGATTATGCACTTCCACTAGGTGAGGCTCAAGTCCAAGAGCGTATCTCAAAACTTGCCAGTTAGGGTATACCTGGTTTATGTAACTTGGTTTCTTTTGTTTCAGGGCATGTTAGAACCCACTAAAGAACCAGTAAAGCCAATATCGGCTGCAGAGAAGATAGCGTCAATAGGTCAAATTTCAACTGCAAGTGTCACGCCCTCAGAAATGTGCGGTTCTGCATCTGATCAAATCCAAGTAATCATAAATTACAATTGTTTCATTACTAAAGAATATCTAACGATTTATAATCTTTTGCTTATAAATAGCTTTGTTTACTGGTTAGTAAGTTGCACAGAGTAGGAGGAAGATTGACTAAGCGATATAGATTGTCTATTGCCTAACTTTTAATAAACTTTCCATTCCTGTTCTTCCCAGCTCATCAGTTTCTTAAGTTTTATTCCATCACTGTTCCATCCTAGCTGAATGGTGGATTGACATCTATTGCCAGGCTTGGAACAGTGACATTTTTTAAAAAAAAATTACGGCTGTCTGCTCAAGTGACTCTGGTAACTGGCATCCACCCGTCCATAGGAAATACCTTGCTTAAAGTTTTTGAGAAGATTTGTAGCTCGGGTTGTGGGTGAGGCTGCAGACTTGCTGAACTGGTGTGTTTGAAGATGTTTTGTCACTCCCACAGTCCAAAGATGTGCAGGCTAGGTGGATTGGCCATGCTAAATTGCCCATAGTGTTCAGGGATGTGTTAGTTAGGAGGATGGGTCTGGGTGAGATGCTCTGAGGGTCAGTGTGGACTTGTTGGGCCGAAGGACCTGTTTCCACACTGTAGGGATTCTGTGACCTATGACCCTGCTAGGTAACATTGTCAGTGCGCCTCTGGTGAAGTGTTGGCGTTCAGTCCCACTCGTTATTTATATACCTCGGTTTGCTGGGGTGGTTGGCATCACTTGCTTCCAGTTCTGTTTTTCAGTGGTTTGTATATCGGGTCCAGTTCATTGTGTTTGTTGATGGAGTTCCGGTTGGAATGCCAGGCCTCCAGGAATTCCCTGGCATATCTCAGTTTGGCTTGTGCTATTATGGATGTGTTGTTCCAATCGAATTTGTCTTCCTTTGTCTGTATGTAGAGACCAGTGAGAATTGGTTGTGTCTCTTGGTGGCTTGTTGGTGTTCGTGTATCCTTATTGTCAGTTTTCTTCCAGTTTGGCCTATGTAATGTTTCTCACAGTCCTTGCACAGTATTTTGTATATTACATTAGTTTTATTGGTTGTGGGTATGGGGTCCTTTACGTTCGTCAGTAGCTGTCGTTGGGTGATTGTTGGTTTGAGGTCTACCCTGATACCTTGTGGTCATCTCTGATACGCTGTTTAAGCATATACAGAATGACTACACATATGGACCAGATACTTAATTACACCAGCAACCACCCCAACACCCATAAACAGACCTGCATCAGGACGTTATTCAAACGAACCACAACACACTGCAGCTGCCCGGAATTGAGCAAAGCAGAATAGGAGCACTTATACAGAGTTTTTAAAAGGAATGGATACCCAAAAAGCACAATTGGCCGTTACCTCTGCGACAGACCACAACAAGAAGACGCAACATGACCAGGCGCATTAGTCACCCTACTGTATATTAGAGACATATCAGAGAAGACCATAAGACTTCTCAGACCTCTAGGTATCAGGGTAGCCCACAAACTAACAACCACCCAACGACAGCTACTGACAAACGTAAAGGATCGCATACCCACAACCAATAAAACTAATGTAATATATAAAATACAATGCAAGGACTGTGAAAAACATTACATAGGCCAAACTGGAAGAAAACTGATAATAAGGATACATGAACACCAGCTAGCCACCAAGAGACACAACCATTTCTCACTGGTCTCAATACACACGGACAAAGAAGGACATGAATTTGACTGGGACAGCACATCCATAATAGCACAAGCCAAACTGAGATATGCCAGGGAATTCCTGGAGGCCTGGCATTCCAACCGAAACTCCATCAACAAATACATTGAACTGTATCCGATATACAAATCACTGAAAAACAGAACTGGAAGTGATACCAACCACCCCAGCAAACAGAGGTATATAAATAACAAGCAGAACAGAACACCAATGCTTCACCGGAGGCGCACTGACGATGTTACCTAGCAGGGTGATGATATGTCTGCAACCAAACACACCGGCTCGGCGAACAAGTCTACAACCTCAATACCTTGCTTGTTTTAAGAACTTTCTACAGATGTGAGGCAGAGATTGGGAAGCAGATGAGATCTCTATCTGGAGATGTTTACTTTGTCGTCTTCATCACTGTTTTAGGTAGTAGTGTCTTTGTTTGACACAACATAAACTTTGAGTGTTCAACATTATGGACAATTGCAGTAGAGTTATGAAATAGCAAAATTATCTGCTTTGGTATTAATTTGCAGCTGGAGACCTTTTTTCTTCTCAGTACAACAGAACTCTGATGTGTAATGTAATGTTTCCTTTCCTCCCTAGGAGCACGTTCCGCCTGTCCAGTTTGACTGGAGTAGCAGTGGCCTTACTAATCCTCTTGATGGTACGTCCCTGCATAGAGCCTCTAGCACCAGAGCTAGAGTTAAGAAACCTACCAAGTTCAGACAGACTTCTTTCTCCTGATTTTTTTTGTTTGTTTTGCTTTCCATTTCTTTCTCACTATGGAAATCTGGTTTCTCTTAGCCTAGTTTCGCGAATTATGAAAGTCCCTCATATACAGTATTTATATTTGTGTTGAGCATTAGAACGCTAACATTGCACCCTGGCTTTCACAGTTTCAATTCTTTCCCTCTCATAACAATTATGCAAAACTATGCAGTATTAATCTACTTAATTTATTACCTAAAACAGCTGATTTTATAACTGAAATAACAAACATAGTTTGCCAAATCAATATTTGTCATTTACTTCCCATTAGCAGTCTCATGAAAATGTTTGCAGTTTTTATGTGGGGAGCTGTAATGTATTTATTTGTAATTTTTTAAAATACATTCTGCGTAAACCAGAGAGAGTGCATTTTTAAAGTGTGTGTATATATGTAAAAAAAAAAATCACATAACCAAACCAACACAAGTTCAATGATACATTTTTATCATTGTAATTCATTGCAAGTTATAGTAAATTATTCTGATTGTCAGACTTATTAAGGTCTAAAAACTTTGAAGTTAACATGCAAGAAGACCTCTCTTGCAGGCTATTTTCTCTCTCCCATTTTATCTACATTTCTTTTTAATTGCACAATTGCTTAAGTAAAAAGATTAAGTGTGTGGTAACAAATGGAATAAGACCACTAATTTGCCCAAGGTATTGATTGCTTCTGAATGTTGCATCGTACTTAATATGAGTTATACTATCTAACACATCAAAAGCAACTTAAGCTTTTACTTTGTGTGTATGTTATAAAATATAAAACTTGCTAACATTTGGCTTGACTTTAAGAATGAAGCTCATGTGGAGTTGGCGGTACTATGTGTGTAGTCTTTTTTTAAACTTGTTGAATACTGAATTTCATAGGTTGTTGACTTCCAAATATATGGCAGTTAGCATTTAATAAACGTTGAAGTATTATGTGACTGAACATGTAGATCTATGAAATCATAAATTAGAAAATTGCTGAAGTTAAAATGCGAATTATTTTATTGGTCTTCCTGCAGTGCTGCAAGACTTAATCATGCGGGTCAAATCAAAGTCCTATCCACAAACTCCTTGTCTAAAAATGGAAAGAAAGCTTGGGTCATCCTCTGTGTTGTTTTGGTGTCCATTAACTAATCCAGTCAAATCTTCCTGCTTACTTCATGATTGATTCCTTGTGCTTGTGATTTGTTTGTCAGGCTCAATTTAAAATTAAAATTCTTTGTGTCAGTTACATCATTGAGGAAAGTACATTCCCTCATTGATTTTAAGCTGCAACATTTGTGCACTTTATGACCTATGTATTGTAACTAATATTCATTATAGAACTGGTTGACTAGCTAACATGGATAATTAATCCTCAGTGTTTGAATGCTTATGTTTATAGTATGTGGTAATGGTAACCTGCATGTTGAAGTTTGTGTCTTGCCCCCCTATCGTTCATCAATTCCTTTCCCCTGGCTAAACCTCTGTATGACTGCTTACCAACATGGTTACTGAATTTCAAGCTAATGGAGGTTCCACTGTTCTAAACCTTGATTTCTTTGGACCCTTGGATGACAGTAGCTCTAGCAACAGTGACATAATCCCAGGTCAGCAGAATGTCTTAACTGCACCATGTTAGGCTTCAAACACTGTGATCACATGACTCTCTTCCCATGAACAAAACCAGGTTTGTCTGATTGGCATCAGATCTATCTTATTGAAAGCAATGTAATCTTTCACCTATTACAACAGTTGAATTTTTTAAAAATACAGCGAATCAGAAATCAACCAACATAATAATGTGTGGAGCAGGAGGAACACAGCAGGCCAGGCAGTTTCGAAACGTCAACTTTCCTGCTCCTCTGATGCTTCCTGGCCTGCTGTGTTCCTCCAGTTCCATACTGCATTGTCTCTGACTCCAGCATCTGCAGTTCTTGCTATCCCTAATACTTAACTTCGGGCATTTAACTCTTTTTGTCTTTATTTGTGTGTGCCAGTATTCTCGTGCTGAAGCCCATTCACTCCAGCAATGTATTTCTTAGGAGACCAGTGAAATTGGATGATCTTGGCTTCCTTTTACATTTCTGGCTTTTTTATTGGGATAGTGATGATTATTCCTCCTATATATCCCGAATTGTCTGAGAAGTTGATGATGGTGGGCTTTCCCCATAAATTGCTGGTGCTCCTATGATAGTGATGCTACTACAGTGGTGTTAAATAGGAACTTCAGGGCACCAATCAAATGACTGAAGGATTAGGGATACCTGTCCAGGTTGGGATTGTGCGTTACCTGGAGGGAACCTCGAGAGGCAGTGTTAGTTTCATGGTTTCAGTGCTCTTGCCTTTCTTAGTGTTTGAGGTAGAGAGATTCCTGGAGAGGAAGTCGCTATCAAAGTACCCGTGGCAAGTTCCTGCTGAGTACCTTGCATACTTCAGCCACAGTGCGCCAATGGTAGAGAGAATGAGTTATATCATACACTGGCAAGGTCAACAGTTAAAGCAGCCACTCTGTCCTGGATGATGTGCTTGTTGAATTGTTCCAAATGAGTACCGAGTATTTCATCATTCTCTTCACTTCACTCCTGTGAATGGAAGGGTGGTTTTAAGTGGTCAGGAGGTGAGCCTTCATGGTACATGTCCTAGTACTATCACCTGTTCTTGTAAGCTTGCTGATTTATTTCAGGCTGTGGTTGGCGGTGATGCTATTGTTAGTTAAAAGTGAGGCTTCTGGACTTGCACTGAAGATTGAATACCTTGATAAGAGACAGCAATCCTGTATTAAGTCAAACCTAGATACTGTTCCAAGTCCCGTTCTTGGTCAAAATGATTTGCTTCATTATCAGGGGAGTTAAGTTTGGAGTGGAACACTGGAATTTTTAATAAACAGCTTTACTAGTATGATGATGGGTATGTCATTGATAAAGTAGCTGAAGATGGATTTTGAATTCAGGTTGTTTACCTAAGGAACTCCTGCAGAGATGTCCTGTGATTGTGATGACTGGTCTTTGATAACCACAGCCATCTTCCTTTGTGTCGAAGTGATTCCATAACTGGAGGGTTTCCCTTTGACACACCCCATTCAGTAACTTTGCCAGGATTTCCTTTTACAATATATCGTGTTAAGTGCTATCTTAACATTGAGACAATGACTTTTTCAGATCAAGTCTGTGCCAGGATGTGCAACCAAGTGCCTGTGTGTCACTTGTACTGAGCATTGATGGGTACGTGTCACTTTATGACAAACGTTAATGACTCCTTTCATTTGCTTGACTGATGTTTGGGAAAGGGTGCATGGCACAAGTCAAATTAGTTATTTTTTGTGTAGGATATAGGCAATCTTTTACGTTGTCCATGTAGATCCCAGTTTCCTAACTGTACTGCAATAGTGTAGCTAAGTAGCTCCAGTGCTCAGGTCTACAGTACAGTGCCTGGGCTGATAACTTTTGTGTTGTCCATTACACTGATCACCTTTCTGTTGTATGGAAGTGAATGGGGTGGTGGGGTGAGAAAAGAAGCTGATTACATGGGAAACATAAGTAGGGCCGGCAAGCTGGTCTTTCTAAAATGCCTGGAAACATTTTAATCCTTTTTTTTACTCGCATGTTAAGTTGAAGGTGGATATACTGATGAAGCCTTCTCCTGTTTTTGGTTAACCACATCATTTGTGACTGGACTTTATGGGGCTGCAGTGCATTCCTGTTATTTATAGGACCACAAAACTCTTTCTATAGCCTGTTCTTTTTGTGTTTGGTGTGCAGGTGATTCTTTGTAGTAGCTTAACTACATTTATAACTGTTTCAAGATATTGGTTTTGGCTGAAGTTTCTATGTGTTGTCTGTAACTACTTTCCTTTTTAATTCATGCAGGGTCATGGGCATTGCTGACTGGGCCAGCATTTATTACCCATCTGTAGTTGCTTGAGGAGGTAGCAGTGAGCTGCTTTCTTAAACTGCTGCAGTCAATTTCTTGTAGGTAGACCCAAAATCCTATTAGGGAAGGAGTTTCACAGTTTGAGCCAGCACCAATGAAGGAACAACAATGTAGTTCCAAGTCGATATTGTGACACTGTTCCCATGTCTCTGCTGCCCTTGTCCTTCCAGTGGTAATAGTCTTGAGTTTGTCAGGTATGTCTAAGGATCCTTCCTTGAATTTCTGCAATGCATCTTCTAGATGGTACACACTGCTGCTTCTGAGCATTGCTGGTGGTGGGATTAAATGTTTTTGGATGGTGTGCCTGCCAAGTGGGCTGCTTTGTCCTGGCTTCTGGTGTCCTGGTGTCAGGCTTCTTAAGTGTTTTTGGAGCTGCACCCATCCCAGGCAAATGAGGATTATTCCATTTCACTCCTGACTTGTGCCTTGTGGATAGTGGCCAGGCTTTGGGGAGTTAGGAGGTGAGTTATTTGCTGCAGGATGCCTAGCCTTTGACTAGCTCTTGTATCCACAGTGTGTATTTGGCTGTTCCAGTTCAGTTTCTGGTCAATGGTTAACCACCCCCTTCCCCCTCTCCCGAATGTTGATAATGGGGTATTCTGCAATTGTCATATTGTTGAAAGCCATGGTGATGCCAGTGTTGGACTGGGGTAGACAAGGTCAAAAATCACACGATACCAGGTTGTAGACCAACAGGCTTATTCGAAAACACAAGCTTTTGGAGCATAGCCCCTTCATCAGTTGAAGTGAGAAACAAGCACAGAGAACACAGAATTTATAAGTAGAAGATCAAAGGGTCACATAACTGGTGAGGATCTATTAAACAAACCTAAGATGCTGCTAAATCTTTAATCGGTTAGAAGGTTTTAATTGATTAGTACATATATGCAAATCCCCAAATCTATTTCAAGTCATTGTCTTGAGAAAGCTAAAGGTTTTGTCAATGTGAAGAAGAGGTGACATTTTAGATCAGACAATGCATGTTAGGTGTAAGGC